TCATGTTAAATGACATCTAGAAAGTCAAGCTTATGTTCAAATTTGGCAGGCTATTATAAGTACTAAGTGGTTCTCATCTTATCTAAGGCTCTGAATATACTCTAATAGCTTATGTTTGATAGGTTCTGGGCAATGTCATTATAAATCATCTAATGCATGATTGTGAGTTATAACAGCATTAACAATACACTATCTAATAAACTGCCTTGACTGCAGTGCTTGATGTCCTCATCATGCTGGACTATGAACCTTGCTGTGAAGCATTAGATTGGCACCAGGCTTTTTAGTTACTAGCCATATATGAACTGCATTCTCTATGCCATCTCATTGTGGCTATCTCCATGCTAGTTACCCTTCAGAACCTATTCTGGTAGCTGCTATCCAATCAATGAATCTTACTTAGATAAATGATATTGACAGAAATGTCATACTAATAATTCTGATGAGGGGTCTTAACATTAGCCTGATAGACCTTAGATAATGTAGTGAACTTGTTGTGAGGCCCCTGCTTATACAAGCTTATATGCATGCTATCAAAGTTAATTATACTAATGATAGGCTGACAAATTTTAGCAAGGGTTGTCACCTTGTGACCTTCATCAAAGAATTCTTTGTTAAAGAGTATACCACTGGTGTTCTTCAGTGTATGCCCAACAACATCAAGAGTACCACAAAATTTGAGCAAGCATATCACAATGCATTTCTCATCAGTAAAATATCACATTCCTTAATTTAACTGTATCAGAACTTGTTTTACTTGGCTTGATGCCTAAGTTCATCAAGATGTTCAAGTTTTTTATTTGACTTAGAGCACAACTTGAATGTCTTACCACCAAGACAACTTAAGAGCCAACAAGTATTTTTAAGACAATTTTAAACCTGAAGTATTTCAAGGTAAAGACATATACATATGCGATGTAATATGTTCAACCCAAAAGAAAGAAAAGTGTAGCAAAGATCCAGGAAATGCACTGATAAACCCTGATATAGGGCTATAAAAGGCAACTTAAGCATGAGAAAAGCACAAAGTGTATGTGCAAGAAAGTAGCACTAAGGATGTATGAAGCATGGGAAAGTAGTGCACAAGGTGTACAAGTATATAAGAGACTGCTGAAAGATATAAAGATATGAACTGAGATGGTGAAAGATGACAAGAGACAACAAGATAACAATAATAGATATAATACTTTAAACAAATAGCTCTATTGCTACTGGCTACCAACTGCAACTAGGGCCTACAATAATGCATAGATGATGGTAAAAAGTAAAAGTTGTAAAATATAAACCAGGTGATATGTAAGTTACAATGAGTACCTTCCTAGGGCTTGAGGCTAAAGAAGAAGCCCTAAAGGTATGTAAGTGAGGTAAAGTAAGGGTCCATGATGAATGGATAAGTAAATAATTATCATAGCCTAATATAAAAATAAATAAATAGGGATGCACCAAGGAACTGGTTGAATAATGAATGGATGCTTCTAAGTGATGGGCAACATAAGATGATGAGTGCAAGAAAAATGTGAGTTAAAATATGGGCCATATGAACCTGTAGAGGCATGATTTTCTAGATTGGAGATCATAGTGCACATTTAGTTTTGCATTTTGACTCATATGCCACTCCCTATCACTTCTTGAAAATGGTGTTTTATTGATGTCCTTGACAAGTCTCCAACATTTTTGTAAATCTATATATAGATAGTAACTTTGTCCTAGTCTGTCATATCTCACTTTTCCAGAACTATTCTCTGCCTTAGATCTCTGGATTATTTCCATTTAATTTCCAGATCTGAACTTAACCTTGTTTCTATCTCCATTTAGACTTCCCCTCCTTTGACTCTCCAGTTGTATCCTCATCTGTCCACTTAGTGGATCCACCATCTGTTTTCAATTTCAATTTCATTTTGCTATGGTCTGTTATACTTACTAATAAGCTTAACATATGCTTCATATATAGCCTTGGACTCTGCTGCTGCAGTATATAAACTCCTGTAACTCTTTGTACTATCTCAGTTCAAATATTAACTTAGTTCTTGCTCATCCTTTCTCTGGACTTTGATTCATCTCAGTATCTCTGTTCACTTCACTCCAGGATCTTAGTCCAAATTCCATGTCTCAAGGATTGACTTCTAAGGACTCCAATACTAGCTCTACCTAGTGCAATCCACCTTTGTTTGTTTTTACTCCAGACTTCATCTATAGTAGCCTTTGTAACTCTTCTCAGTGTTACGAACTAGGATGGTTCAGACGTATGGCTACTCGATAAGAGTAATCGGCCAAGGTCGTTTCAAGGCTTCGGCGTATACCGAAGTTCAATGGTTCACTAAGACAAGACAAGGAGAGTGTCCTCGACTTGAATCACGTTCAATACGACTTAAGATTGGAGGTCTTAAGCGAAGGAAGTTCCAGGTAAAACCTAGTAAGATTAAAGTAAAGAACTACTTAGTACAAAGTGGGTTTATATAGGGAACTGGTAACAGCTTTAGGGCCGGTATGATGAAGTCATAAGGATGAGTCAGAGATAAGACGAGTCAGAGATAAGACGGAGTTAGAGATAACAAGAATAGATCATCTAGCGACGGCAAGATGCGATCGTGATGTAATACAATGGTGCAAGAGAAGGAAAATGAATAGGGGCGTACTTGACTGTAACACTCAGATCCTCAGAGTTACACTTGGGTAGTCCTCCAACCTATCAGACATCCACTAAAGCTCTGCCTAGCACACTATTAGACTCTACTGGATATTACCCTTAGTCCTTGGAAATTAAGGACATGTACTCAGGTAAGGGGCACAGCACATGAACTAAGGCCAAGCCCTTTAGATCCAACCTTTGAGCACATTTTTAACATAGTCATCAACAATATTATAATCATTGACTCATGCTACAGTGTACAAAGAAGGTTTTCAATGCCTTAGGTAACCCCAACATACAATGACTACTACACTATGAAAATGAACACAATCAAACTGAAAGTAGTGTAAATCTACATGTTTTCATATATAGTTTAATCCCTGCTGGCCAGAATTTTGAAAAAAGAAAAAAAAAATTGTTACAAGAATTGGAAACATTATGAGAAAAACTATATTTGAAGGCCCAGGAGGCATACCTTGTGATCATAAATGATACTACAATACTATGAGAGGTCATTCTGCACCCCTGTAGCATTACTAATGCATGCAAGGACTTCAGCCATCACTCCAATACATTAATGAGACTTGTACTTCTTCACAGTGAACACAGCTTATTGTGCATCAAGTCCTTTTCTAATTTAAGAGTTCAACAAATATATTATTTCACTGGAATGCAGTAGCACTGTCTTACTAGGATGTGAAAATCAATACAATCAGCAAATTTCACTTTCCTCCATAGTCAATGGTTCAGACAAATACCAATGGTTGATAATGTAGTCATTCATGGGGGTGCAATTAAGATGGGTTCTCCTTGAGCAAATTTACCAATGACTAAAAAGGGATAAGATAGTAGGTAATCTCAGGAACAGTATCTGTTAACTGGCTTGATGCAGTGATTAGGGTACTCAAGAGTGGACTAGTGATAGACAAGTGGGAGCAAGCCCCCCATGAAAAGGGCTATGTCCAGCATAGGGTCTTCAACCCTAAATGAACAGTAAATATAATTCAAAAAAAAAGGAGAGTAGAGTAATATGGACTTACAGAATTACAGAATTAGCCAAATCAATAACTGGCATGATGCAGTGCTACAATACTACAAATAAGAGAGTGACAGTATGGGGTGAGTCAGAATGAAATCTCTTGGATACCCCTTATTCTCACAATCAGGGGAGAACAAACTAAGAGTTGGATACAATCAAATCAATCAAATATATGGCTTCAAAACCAATCTTTCTGCTGCTCAGGCACTCACGTTGAGTTTGAGGCAGGATCAGAACAGAGTACATTTCCATAATATAGTCTTAAAGTAGGCCAAGCTCTTAATATTGTTGACTAAAGTATAGGTCTTATTTTTTATCCTCAATCATTAAAATACATGAATTCTCCCCACAGAATTGATTTCCTGTATTGTAAAGAGAATGAAGTGGAACTACACTAGATGACCAATAACCATGTACAGTTGTCTATCCCATAACATATAACATCAGGACCCACCTCACACCTATACATTATCAAAGTTATACAGAAGGACCGATGTCACACATTGTGACTGAATGTGACGAACACATGTGACACTGCTCAACAGTGTCGAAAATCTAAGGTACTAGAGTACATATCTACTTAAAAAATGAATCTAACGTTGTCTGCCTCGCATGGAGTAGCTCCTCGCGTTGTAATTGGGCATGGAAATGACGGATTTGCTTTAACAAATCAAGCGTGTGTGTTGAGTCCTGAGAATGTCCATGCTGAAGGCATGCTCCTTCGAGCCTCTGACATACTTCTACACGGGAAACCTCTGGGGCCGCATCATGATCTTCTTCCGAGTCGTCATCAGAATCAGCTTCAATCACCTCACCCTGTTTCTCAGCAATCTCTCGACTGACTGCAACAACAATGACCATGTCCCCACCATTCAAGTCAAACCCAAGGGAATCCCCAATTTGTTTTTCCTCAGCCGGCTCGAGCAGCTCGTATAAGGATAGTGGTTTACCAAAAATGCGTACATAGGGTTTTCATATGATGTGTGGACAATCGCTGGCACTGACAATGGTCCCCACCACCAAAAGTGCCGTCTGATAATGTCTAATAGGCATGCAAGGTCAATACATTATACAATATACATTATGCATCAATTTTCTCACTGTCCCACAGTGGGACCATTGAAAACTCGATACAGTATTGAAAATATACACTAAGGGTGTATACATTATGGCATAGACAACTGTACTTGTAATTTGTTATAGCTCAGGGACAACCTTCAGATGGTCCATACATTGTGGGAAACAGTGCCAAAAGAGTGGAGGGAATAAGCTAATATTCACTCAATTATTCACACATATATTAAGGGGGTCTTTAAAGAAGGGAATTTTTATTCTCAAAGGGGAAATTAGGCCCCTTTATATACTACTTTATGTGTGGCTATGCAATTACTTATTATAGAAAGATGAATCATTATGACTCAACTGACTTGGAGGAAGACTGCTGCATGAAGCATGTGCTATTGTGATACTGAGCTTTGCCAAGTTCATTTTTTGCTTGGTCAAGGTATGTCTCCAATTACAGTGCCTCATGGGCCACAAAGGTCAGGACAGTTGGGCAAGTTAGGATATATAAGTTTGCTTTTTTTGGTAAAATTTGAAACATCCCTCCAAAAAACCCTGAAATTGGTAAAAACAGCATATTTTAGCCATGTTCATTCCTAAAAATGTCTGTGGAGTTGCAGTAATGCATTTTGGATGCTGTACAGAGGCACTATTTTTGTGCTTCTTACACTGTAGCTATAGACCCTAGAGATTGTTGAACATTCAAACTTTTATTCACATATGTGAGAAAACATTGAGGCCCTGCTCGGCAATCAAGTCTGGTTTGTTTTTCGCTGGTTACATGCCAAAATTACGACTGATCGAATTAAACACTGGTTCCCATCAAAATGTCCAATTTAACCTGACCAGCGTGTGTGCTCAACAAAAAAGTTTGATTTTGATGGTTTAGATTGTGTATCTGCTTGTACTTATCTGTAGCCTCTGTCTAATTTATGAACTCGTCCCTTTCTTTCTGATGTCACCTACTACCACAGAAAATGACAAGGAAAACACTGATCCCCTTGCCGAATCTGACTGTGACTCCCAAAGTCCTGAAGACCAAATCAAAGGTGCTGAGTGCAAGCACAAAGACTGTTTGGAAGTCCAATGATGATGCTGTGTTGATTGCAACACTTCTCAAGGAACAGGAGGAGGGTCGTCAATCTGACTCGGGATTCTAACCAAAGTCATTTGTTGCTTGTGCCGAAGCACTCCAAGGGAGCAGAAAGACGAGTGGAGGGGTTGCAAAGACATCTGGCTCATGCCATGACTATTGGGGAAAGGTATGTCTTGTATTTTATTCAAAACACATTCTGACCGTGTGCTCTCAGCTTAAAAAAGACTTCGCCATCATCAAAAAACTCAGGGAACAGTCCGTATTGTCGATTGTCCTCAATCTCAAGTGCGAGCGGGGTATTTGCATCAGGGAGTTGTACATAGGCATTATAGAGATTATCAGATGTAAGGAGGTTGAGAATGCAATGGATGGCCATGATAGTAGACATTAGTTTTAAGGGCTTGAAATACATGTTTGTTCATTCTCATTGCATCATAAGAGTGTTGGGGGTGGCCAACCAGAAGCTCGTTCAACCATTGTTGGCCAGTGAGCTTCGAGGTGTTTTTTGGTGTTTTGTTGTAGCAGACGGAGAATTAGTGTTGGGTAAGTGAAGCAGCAGTGAGTGCGAGAGCAATGACAGCAGCTGCCCTTTTTTCTTGGCTTTAGAGCCTGCAAGGTGAGTGTTGATTAACATAAGTACAGTACTCTACTATAACGAACCTGCTGCCTGGTTTGGCAGATTTCGATGGTCTAATTTTCCCTCGCATCAATCGGACCTGACCAGCGAAAACAAACCGGACTCGATTGCCGAGCGGGGCCTGAATGATTTTCTACATTTACTAAATCTGCTCAAATTATCACTAATAATACAAGGGTTTTTTTCTGATGTAGCAAAAAATACAGAATACAGTACAAGGATAAAAAATAAATCAAGGTGCTGCAGGTGCCCTAAAGAAGTCCAAAGCACTCCAATTGCTTTTCGTGCCAAAGGCACATGGATTCATATACATGCCTGACCCGAACATAGTATAGATGGCCAAATACATGTCATCACAACAACACACATAGTATCCTCTACTACGTAGGTTACCAACGGACATTTGAGCTTTATAGGTATTGGATCATCAGACATTAGTGCTATTAGTCCTACGTTCACCCGGAATATGTCACCTGGAATGCCCAGGCGTAATCTACCTGGTCGACTTGATCCTGAGGCACTACGATGGTCAAGACACCCGATTCATTAATGTTCCACTCAAGGCTCTGCGGATTCATTGATGGTCCCAGCAGCACGACATTGTCTCCCTTCTGAATTGGTAGCGCTACGCCACCCGCATCCACCGTGACTTGCCCATCGCTCGGCTTGTTGAATGCGATGACGCAAAATGTTTTTGGCGTGGTGAGGAACCTGAATGATCCCGTCGGATCTTCGGACGCTTGATACCAGTAATCCTGATGGACACACGTTTCATCTAACGAAAGGAGTACCAGAGGGGTGTTCACGACCTACCGTTGCATAGACACAGTCACCTGCATACTTCAGCCATTTGCCGGCAGCGAGGAGGTTGTCTGCCATCGGTGCAATGATGTCGCCCTCCGCGGTGGGACCGACATCGAGTAAACTGGGAAATGAAATAAAACAACTAGTAAGGCGATGGATGATATTCCTCACTAGTTTCCATTCTTGCTCACAACATCGACTAGTGTTTGGATGATGGTCGTTCCATTCTTGTACTCACTCGCATTGGTGGCAGTATTCAGACCGTAGCTATTCGGGTCCATCCCTTCGCTCGTCTCCCAGCTGTAAGTGGACAGGGAACCGAAGGTCGCATACTCCGGTGTGTCAAAGTCCGGGGCCGCACCACAACCTTGAGTGGGTATTGCATCAAATATGCTCAACAGTTCGCAAAAAACTTACGATCATTCAGAGTAACCTGGTAGCCATTCTGCATCGCCTTGTTATAGAATTGTGCAGCAAAATCCAACGTCTTGTTGGGGCCTCCAACATCACACCACTAGCCCCCGTCAGCGCATGCTGAGAAGTCAGTCTAACAACGAGCTTACCATGATTTCCGTGTCATAGTCCAGCGCCAAAGACAGCATCTGGGGGTATTGCAAATCCTCGATATAGTCGCTTATATTCAATATTCCAGTATAAGGCTCCAGCTCAGACGCATTGAATGCATTGTGCGCCAAGCCTCCTGGCCATGAACTAAACCCATACTTGGAGTAGTCTGGATTGAACCTGCAGGAGATCAGAAACAGGAGCCATACTCGCGGTATCAACACTCTTACCATTCCGAAAGTGAGTAGTATGTTCCGCGATGAATGTCGGGATAATCCGATTTGGCGGTGTCCATGAGTTCTTTGACAAAGTCACGGTGTGGGTTAAGGTGTACACTACTTCTGTGTGTGGTATTTTTCGTGTCAAACAGTCCATAACCGTCGTGATGTTTCTGAAATGCGGCACGGTCAGACTGGATAAACAAACACTAAAGAACAGTTCGCACAGTAACGAGAACAAAGTACTTCGCCCCAGCTTCGGTGAACAGATCTAACCAAGCACTTGGATTCCAGGTAGACGCCGTGAAGTTAGCGATGAAGTCATCGTATACGACATCCTGCAGTCCACAGTCATGGTCGTTAATGCTAACTAAAAGCTCATTATGCTTACCTTCCCATAAGTGTCCAGGTGATGTACCCACGTCGGCGAGTTGGAGTTCGGAGGATTATGGAGATTCCAGCTGCTCTTGTGTTAGAATGACCCGCCGCGTATGACGTGGAACCTCCTTACTCATACCACTCCGCATATGAATTAGGCGGGCCCTATGTAAAATGCATCAACCAACGTGAACGCCACCAAAAGCACGAACATACTTACCCAAGCTGGAACACTGTAGATACCCCAGTGAATGCTGCAAATGCATGAGTCTACGGATCATTTGAATCCTCAGGAATCATCTGGTACTTACAATATTCCATACTTCGCCTGGTTCCACCAAGTGGGCGTCTCATGTGTGCTCAGCACATCAGCGTCCGCTGTCCATTCGGTCCGCAGCGGGACGATGGGCCAGCCCACGGAAGTCCCAACGATATTCCCAATTTCATCTTTGATCGTGACTGTCGCATTTCCCGTCCCGTCGTTGTTGAGAACAAGGACATCCACACGAGCCTGGTCTGCGGGAACCAGGCGATACACGAGGCCAGGCGTGACTGTGGAGACCCCCTCGCCTGCTACTGAGATCTCATACTGCGAGTTTATGGATGCGTTCGAGGAGGTTGCGTAACTCCCTGGGAGTATATTCGCAAGGGTGATGGCGACGGCTTGAGCTCGCTGCCCGTTGACGTCCTCCCACCTCATGCTGAACTGGGCACTACGAACAGAGAGCTGGGGCACCAGAAGACCACTGGAGGATTCAAAGAAGGTGTCATAGAGAGTGCGAATACATGGAGTCTGTTCGAAGTAGAAGATGTGTCTGGGAGTGTGATGCTCTGAAGCGGTGCACGAGATGGTACAGATAGCGATATTTGGAATATGTGGCTGGAATTCCAGTTCTTGTTGGATGAATATTCTTCGAAATGATATGGTCTGTTATAGGTCAATGGTCAGTATGAGTTGACAAAGACGATGCACGTTTTTTACGTTCGAATTTCTCCCCAGTCGGCATTAGGCCATTTCCACCAGCCTTTCCCGGTGACTAAAGGCTAGCCATGAGCTGGCAGAGTCCGCGCGGGAGTTGAGAGAAACTAACATTGCAAGTACTTAACTGAGTTATCCGCGTAGTTCAGATTGAACGTTCCACTTAATCTACCTACGAATTCAAATAGACGTGTCAGAGGATGCAGACAGTTGACTGCACTTCCTACCCAAATCATCCCCTGCATATACGATATGCAACTCATGAACATGAGTTGTGTTCGAGAGTTTCACAACTTGTCCTTCAGCAATGACATTGTCTTGGCTTTGTCCCCAAGTCGATGGTAGGTCATACTGAAGATTGTTGAGTGAATAGACAACACCTTATCACGATCCCCACCTTGATTCCATTATGCAACCATGGACCCTCAGGTAGGTACTCTGCTGCATACGTAGCGCCATTCCCATCGAAGTTGCCGGTGGTGCCATCTAGCGAAGCAGCTTGGTTATTGAATAGATCGCTTAGTGGAATGACAGCAGATGGAAATGTGACGAGAGATGACTTCACAGTGCAAAAATAGGAGAACAAAGCCCCGCACAGTAATGGCACGCCAAAGACTCTCATAGCGTCCTCGAAGGGGGGCTGCTCCACAAGGATGCATGCCTTTCTACCCACGGCTAGGCAAAATATCGGCGTTATGTCGTTCACACAAACAATATCCGTCTGACCATAGTCACAGTGTTCATCTTCGTGGCATGTGCTTCCTCCGTACGTTATGGGGGTCAATGAGAAGTTTATCCGATTATCGTGGTTTATTTTGAAGTCATGTACACTACACCCTGAAATGATGCGGAGAAGAGGATAATGACGTTCAACGTGGATGTCCTCGTTTCGATTACGCTGTTAGAAAGGCTTGTCGTGCGAAATGCGGCAGTAAGCCTTCGAAGTTCAACTCAAGCCACCAACTGATCGAGATATCTCAGGAATGGCTGGAGAAATCAAGTATGATAAATCAGGCGGGAGAAGCATATCACTGAAATTTCACCATTAATTGCGTTCTGGTCACCAGCCCCGAATTCTAGCAGATCTAACGTCGCGTTGCACCGTGATAGACGACGGCTTAGGAATTAGTCAGAGGGCTAGGAGACTCGGAAAGAGTCATGAATGCATTGGGTTCTGCAGTGGTTCACTAAGATGTCATTCTGCAAGACAACCTAGCGAACCGCACCGACTTGTCAGTTCGAAAAGTGCACGTGATATTTATCATCATCATCAACCGCGAGTCTCCGACTGCTACTAAGTACTACTAGTGCCTCTATTTCTGAGTAGTCCTGTCAGAATTACAAACGCATCAGCCGTCAAAACAGGCAGCGCTTCATCAATCGTTCCCTCACGTTGATGGAATCCATCGACGAGGCGCTGCTTGTTTCAAAGCTATCCTGACGATCGAGATCCCCGTGGAGCTGTCTTTTTCATGCCTTGCGTGGATCAGTATCAAAGCCGAAGAGAGGTATAATTGGGGTACTACCTCAGGGGTTACGCTTTTCGAGCAGCCTATGGATCGATAAGTGAGCTTGAAGCATCAAGTGTTGATTCGGTTGATCGCGATCAGGAGCTTAAGGTCACATTTAGTTCGGGTCACCGCTTCAGATGACAAGGATGCTGACTTACGAACAATAATATTTCATCTTGATATCTCCATGGCTATTGGTAGTTTGGAGGCTCACTAGCGCTCACTAGTCATCAGCAATTAGTCAGAATCGGTCAGCAATACCCCAGCCATGATCCTAGAAAGTCCTAGAAGCGCTCAATTACCGACATTGCCTGGCGATCCCCGCGCTTCTCCACGACAACGAACAGTAAGAGTGCTAGTGAGCTTCGATCGCGCCTTGGTCACTATGGCGTATGACACTAAGCTGTCACCCAACATTAGTCGTACAAGCCGCTGATGTCGCACAATTGGGGAGTGAGTGGCCATGGAGGAACATCCAAGAATATCTGGATTACCATACTTGTCGCCTGCTGCTTTGTGTTTGCGAGTTTGCTAGCCCCGCATAGCAGTCACTGACACTTACCGGGTTTAAGGCTAGGCCTGATCAATGTGCACTGCTAGGCAGCTAGTACTTTTATGCTCCTCCTTGATGAGCTTTGCAAAGGCAAGACTTGCACCGAGTGACGAATCCTTTCCTGAATTGGCGTTGTGAATGCGAAAACAAATATCAGGTTGCTCAGCACTGTACATGTGATCTTATCGTAATCATTGATGTGACAGATTCCTGTAGGTATAAATGATCATGCATTCATCGATACCCATCACCCAACTGGAACACCTTCCATCATATACCACCATCACCCCAAGCTGTAATATCTGACACAATGGTTAAATTGTACGGTTTCTCCGGTTCGACATGCACGCGCCTTGTCGCTCTCATCTGCAAGGAGAAGGATATCCCATATGAATTGACCAGTGTCAACTTGGCCAAAGGCGAACAGAAGAACCCGTCTTTCGTGGCGGTTCAGCCATTCGGACAGGTTCCATACATCGTGAGTCAACTCGTGATCAGATCTATATCATTCGCTGAGTTGCGCCCCCAAAGGATGATGACGGGTTCATTCTATACGAGTCCCGCGCGATCGCAAGATACCTCATCAAGAAATACCCTAACCAGGGCAGTCCCTTGATTCCCAGCGACCCCAAGGCTGAGGCCTTGTTTGAACAAGCAGCTTCCATCGAAACGTTCAACTTCACCGCCTTTGTGTCAGGAATTGTCGCTGAAAAAGTGTTCAAGCCGTGAGTAGTTCTCTTTCTCGATCCAAGATAGCTTATAAATGTTTTTCAAGGCGCCGTGGTTTGCAACCAAATGAGGAGCGTGTCCAGGAGCTGTTGGCCAGTCTCAAGCCCAAGTTGGATGCGTATGACTTGATCCTTAGCAAACAGAAGTACCTTGCTGGTGACGTGCGTCTAGTTTATTTCTTAACTTTTACTCTGGCTATGAACTAACAGCATCTGTTGGATATTTAGTCTGTCACGCTCGCCGATTTGGCGCATCTTGCCATATGGCACTGCGTTTTACGGACCCGCTGGCTTTGCTGAGGTGTTTGACAGCAGGCCTAACCTTTCCAGGTAAGAGTTGAGATGACAGCTGCCATGGATATGATTTAATCGTTTGCTGCGCAGGTGGTGGAAGGACATCTCTAGCAGGCCTGCTTGGCTCGCCGTGAAGGATGGTGCGTGAGGTCTTGTTCAATAGGTCAAGGAAACGTCTGGAAAGCAGTGCAGTGTCGTTGTACTATGTAATACCAATAGAACTCCAGTTTGATTTGTTCGTCGCAAGCAAAACGATAACTATGCTACTTGTGTTGTGGTGAGGACCGTGCAGAGCAAAATTTAAATCTGGGGATCTCATCATCTACTCAACGTAGACCAAGTCGTACTTCACTGGAAACTCAAGACCCGGCGAAATTTACGCGCGGCATCGCCCGTTCAAGGAGGAGTTGTTCGACCAGCTTGCTGAGTGCTAATTAGGTATGGTATTTGAACTGATAAAGAGAAAGAACATACATGTTTGCCTTTTGCATATGGAACTTCAACAACTGCGGCGCTGTGCCCTTGCAACTCAATGCCTTCAATCACCACTTTGTCCGCGCCATTTCAAAATGGTTCAAGCCCAGTCGAGAGGGAAGGACGGTAACGTATCATGGGCTACTGGTGGAGCTGCGGTTGCGGTGGAATAGACGGCTGAGAAGTGTGCTTAGTTGCGGTTCTGAAGAAGAGTACTTGGGGGCGGCTTCATGGGGAGGACTAAGAATACTGACTCAGGTGAGGAAAACAAAATCGAAGAGAAAATGATGACGTACAACGATCTAGTGGGACTCGATGGTAGCCGATTATACCAACAACCTCGGGCTCAAGCTTGTCGGATTCATTGTGCTTGTGCATTTATGAGTGGAAATCTCTCCGCACGTTAACTGAAGTATTCATGTCGAGCCGCAAGTAATGCTTTGAATCCTTCGATTGCAATTTTACCCTTACTAGATGGACACAGCTACAGTAAGTCCTTGGCACTTCTCATCTACTGAGAATCTGAGATAGGTCGTAGGCGAATGTTGGGTGAATACGAGCTTACAAGACACTCACTGGCAGGCTAGTACCGCGTGTTAATAATGCTGTGCACCTCCAGGCTCGAGCGTCTGTCTGTACAGCCTCTCAGCGTTTGCACGTGCTCGACCAAATCTCTCGCCAAGATCCCTGGCAAGCAGTTCATGCCTCAAGGCCTCATACGTCGGGCTAGCCTATAAGTCTTCCTAGCAACGCATTTGCTGTAGAGGCCTCTGAATCTAATCCGACAGTTCTGTCGTCCGCGCCCCAGATGCTCAGCGCTCAGCAGGCTTCGATCTGATGTGATTGCTGATTCTTTCTGCCATCAAGGCCAAGCGCTCATCCGACTCGGAAGTGGCTGGGACGCGCGTTCACCATCAATCATTGTGGTGCTGTCCTTCCATAACAGAAGCACATCCAGACAACATCACATGTGCTTCCGCGGGATGCCTACTTACACGTCATAGTTTGCGCTCAGCACTGCATCATGGTTTTTGGTTTGTTGCAGTTTCATTGGATCTTCCCCTTCCCTAACGCTCCACTGTCATGGCCAAGTTACCATAGCACTTTCACTTGAAGTAGACTAACAAACGTTCGTTTGTCTTTGTCTCCACAATGCAACCGTGACGGATCCGGAATCGGAGGGAGGGGAAATTGCCGGTTCTTCTGAATGCACGCTTCAACTATTACGTCGGACACCGCACTGGTACTGGCAGTCACTTGTCGGGCCTGGCCTCGTCGGTCTACCCTTGGTCCGATGATACATATCTCGATATTATAGGTTGCAGGCTTACACTGAAATCAGATCCCTCCACCATGCCGATTACTTCGGTACACCAATTGGCTCCTTCCATACGTTATAACACGTACGCGAGACATGACATAGATACCAAACTGTTCGTTATTTCGCTAATGACGCGTGCTTACAGTTGCCCCTTTGATAGACAGGATATTCGTCTAGGTCCGTGTGCTGTAGCTACAGCTAGTTGTTTCGTCCACTGTACCTTGGGATCTCAGCTGCTGTTAGTGAACTTTCGAGGGACATGCCAGTCGGGTGGCTGTTAACCGCATCCCCAATCAACGGATCAAAAATTGATATACCCGAGTGCCACGAAGGCCTTCCAACATAAACGCCCGTCATATACAGAGTTCACTTCAGAAAACCCTCCAATGCGAAAAAAGATTTAGTAACCGGGTTACTTGTCATGATCCGGTCTGGTATAGCAACATTGGCATACTGACCAGAAGTGATTATCATCCTTTCAACTTACCTGTTTGAAGGTTGCAACGACATAGCGCGTGACTAACCTATGCCTTCCACCACCATTGTAGCGGAATTACACAAACCCAAGAGTCCAGTGGAAATCTGGCGATTGCAGCCAACACCCGTGCCTCTTGTCGAGCTGCGGTGGGTAACAGCGCCAGAGATGAAGTAAGTTAAAAGCCATGAAAGCGACTCATCTGAAGAACCCAGAAGACACACAAACCAACTCCTCTGATCTAATATGAACACAGATCGGTTAGTGGTGACATTACCTGCCATTTCTTTATAGCTCACCGTTCTTATTTCAGTTCGTCTGAATTTCCCATGGTCTATGATATGCTCCTGGAGCATAATGGGGCGAACCCCATCCTGATTGACCAGGATACCCTGCGCGACCATACCGACGAAGTCACATTGCACCAATGTAACTGGGACGGCTGCACGATGCACATTGCTGTCGACCACAAGCAGATCTCCAAACATCTCCAGCATTATCATGGTATCAACACCAGCGCTACGAGTGAGGACACGCAGCAGATCTCCTGTCTTTGGACGGGTTGTCTCGATGCCCGCATGAAACCAGGGAACATCCCACGTCATATACTTTCACACCTTGGAGTACGGCGGATTTGTTCGATATGCGGGGCTTCACTCTCGCGGGATGATGCCTTTCGAAGACATACTCTTGAAAGACCGGGCTGCCAGTATGCGAAAGCTGTTGTAAAGTATGGAGATAAATCACTGGTAATTGACACAGCGTACATTGATGGGGGTTTTTCGCTCAGCCAAAATGTAATCTGCATCCCCTGATGTCTCTTAGATTGATGTAGTCCTCTGGCGTTATCTTACAGTAGCATCCCTATCGTTTTGCGTTCCAACCTTATATGCATCCTCTTATATATAGTTCCTGTCCGTCATCAGTAATTGTCCTATCGTATACTCATACTTAATTGATCCTAATGTACTGTCTTGAATTCTCCTTGGATTTTGTCGTGGTGTCGACTGTTGAGTTATTTGATAGTCTGTGCATCAAGGTACTAAAATGATTCCGGTCACATTCAATCACCTACCTTTGGTTACATGAGTTGACAAGGTTCGGATCTGACGCTCATAAAGTTGTTTTACTTGCTTCGACATGGCAGTGTGCTGGAGGGACAAAGGCATAGGTTCACCAGTCCTAGTATGTAAATGCTAAAGTAACAAAAACAGGAACACGGCCGGCGGTACGGTACTGTCCTCGTTAATGTCACAATATGCTGTGTGTGACGGGGAAATCATGGTGATGACAGGCCACGGCGTTTGGCACGACTTCCGTGAGTACCAGTGCAGGTATTCATATATGCGTACCTGGCTGCATTATTTCCCGAGCTTTGAGTGTATTGGTCGACATTTTTTGACCGTGTCTCTGAAGTACGGAGGTGAAACTAAAGAACAAGTCTATGTAGACAAAATACAACGAGAAAGAGCCGAATCTCATTTTGGATGCCTAGTAAATCACCACATACACGTTTGTCCTTTGTATATGGAACTTCAACTGTGGGGCTGTGTCCTTGCAACTCGATGCCTTCACCACTTCACCATCCGCGCAGTTCAAAAGGCTTCGAGCCCAGTGGGGAGTGGAGGGCGGTGACGTATTATAGGCACTGGAGGGGCTGCGGTTCAACCGATGGAAAGACGGCTGAGACTCAGAAGTGTGCTTCCTTGCGGTTCTGAGGACTCGTGGGGGCGGCTTCGTGCGGTGGACTACTAAGAACATTGATTCAGGTCGGGAAAAGATCGAGGAGATAGTGATGTCGTATGTACAACGATCTAGTAGGACTCGATCGAAAAAAAACCATATATAAGCAGACGGACGTCGAGGTCGTGTAGCAAATATTAACGTTTTAATCTTCACCAGCTCACTCGACGACTGTCATATATAAAAACAACCTCGCCGGATTGTGTATTAGTCTCTCCACACAACTGAAGCGTTCTTTGTATCCTTCGATTGTAATTTCTAGGGGTGAATCTAATTTCGGAATGCCCCACGCTTTCTCACGAGTCGCGCGGCCTTGACTGTAACTGCTACGCTCACCACGGATGGTACTTGGTAATCTGTTCGTTGGCACTACAAAGCAAAGCAGCTTATCTGTGGCCAACCGGAAATACCAAGGCCTTAGTCGCCATGGCTCACGACACAAAGTAGGCACCCAACACTAGTCATACAAGTCTCGCCCAATAAAACTGGCTCGCCGGAGGACTCGGAGAATCCAAGTCTATTTCGATCGCTCTTCTACTTCTTCAAACCTTCGCCCGCTACTTTCGAAGCCCCGCAAAGCCCAATACTTACTCAGATCAGAACAAGATTGCACTGCTATGGTAGGTAGCTAGTACGATTATGCTTACCGAGACCTCCGACATTCAAGTAGTAGCGAACCCTTTCCTTAGCTGCGCGAAGACAAATATCGCAGAAAATTATTCAGCATGTGCAATATTCCGTCGTCATCGATTCATCATCCATACGCATTTCATTCAGAGCCGCGTCTAGGTATAAATAATCATGCGTTCATCCAAGTCCATCATTCAAACGCCTTTATCCTCAGTCCCAGTAATATCTGAAGATGCTCAAGTTATACGGTTTTTCCTCTTCCGTGTACACGCGCCTTGTCGCTCTCGTCTGCAAGGAGAAGAATATTCCATATGAGTTGATCGATGTCAACTTGGCCAAAGGTGATCATAAGCAGCCGGCTTTCACCGCGAACCAGCCTTTCGCAGAGGTCCCATACATTGTGAGTCGGCTCCTGACCGGACATATGTTATATGCTCACGCGCGGCATTGAAGGATGATGAAGGGTTCATCCTATACGAGTCCCGTGCGATTGCAAGATACCTGATCAAGAAATACCCCAACCGGGGCGCTCCTTTGATCCCTACCGACCCGAAGGCTGAGGCCCTGTTTGAACAAGCAGCCTCGATCGAGGTGTCCAACTTCACCGCCTTTATCGCGCCAATTGTTGCTGAAAAATTGTTCAATCCGTGAGCAGTCTTCCTTCTCGATTTGACGTAGCTTAGACGATTTCTGAAGACGCCTTGGTTTGGAACCAAATGAGGAGCGTGTCAAGGAGCTGTTGGCCAGTCTCCAGCCGAAGTTGGATGCGTATGACTTGATCCTCAGCAAACAGAAGTACCTGACTGGTGACGTGCGTCTTGTTTTTAGTCCTACCCTGGTTGTGAACTAACAGCACCTGTCGGATATTCAGTCTGTCACGCTCGCCGATTTGGCGCACTTGCCATATGGCACTTTCTTTTATGAAGTTGGCTTTGCTGAGGTGTTTGACAGCAGGCCTAACTTTTCGAGGTAAGCGCCGAGATGCCAACTGCCGTGGATATGTTTTAATCGCTTGATGTGCAGGTGGTGGAAGGACATCTCTAACTGGCCTGCTTGGCTCGCCAGTCAAGGATGGTGCGTGAGGTCTTGTTCAATAGGTCAGGGAAACGTTCGGAAAGCAGTGCAGTCCCGTTGTATGTAGTGCCAATATTTATAACTCCAGTTTGATGTCTTCGTCTCAAGGAAAACAAGAACTATGCTACTTGTGTTATGTTGAGGATCGTGCGGTTGACTTGGAGCAAAACTGAGACCTTGGGAGCTCATCATCTACTCAACGTACACCAAAGCATACTTCACTGACAACCCAAGACGCGGCGAAATTATGTGTGGCATCGCCCGTTCACGGAGAAGTTGTTCCAGCAGTTGTTGAGCGGCTTGTTGAGTGCTAATTGAGTGAGGTACCAGCAGGTGCGTGAGAACAGGATTCAAGCGTTTCTCTACTTGACATTAGGTGGATTTGAACTGAGAGAGAGAAATAACATACACGTTGTCCTTTGTATATAAAATTTCAACCACTGCAGGGCTGTGCCCTTTCCTTCACCACTTTAAATAAATTGTCCGCGCCGTTTCAAAAGGTTTTGAGCCAAGTTGAGAGGGGAGGATGGTGATGTATCATGGACACTGGAGGGGGTGCGGTTGCGGCGGAATAAACGGTTGAGAAGTGTGCTCCCTTGCAGTTCTGGGGAGGAGTGGGGTGGCTTCGTGCGGAGGACCAAGAACACTGAATATCAGGTCGGAAAAACAAAATTGAAGAGATATAGTGATGACGTATAGAGATCTAGTAGGACTCAACGTTGCAACCTTGGGGTAACCCGATAAGACGTAACCTTCACCACTCACTCGACGTCTGTCATATATACAAACAACGTCGCCGGATTGTGCATTCGTTCTTTGAATCCTTCGATTGTAATTTATAGGGGTAAATCTAATTTTGGAATGCCTAGTGATCCCCACGCTTTCCCACATCCTTGACTGCTAATTAATACGCTCACCATGCCATGATTCTGTTCGTTGGCACTACAAAGCGAAGCACCTTCTCTGGGGTTAACAGGAAATACCAGGGCCTTAGTCGCTATGGTTCACGACACCAAGCAGGCATCCAACACTAGTGCTCATCCAACGAGTGTCACCCAATGATAACTGGGCCTGGGTAGCTCGCCGGAAGACTCGGAGCATCCAAGCTTCTATGTACTTCCTCAATAATCCACCTACTACTTTCGAAGCCCCGCATAGCACACTGACACATACTCACTCAGTCCAGATCAAGATCGGGTAGGTAGCCAGTACTTTTATACTCCCATTCAAGTAGTAACGAGCCCTTTCCTGCAAACCGGCGCTAGTGCGAAGACTAAATTATTCAGCATGTGCAATATTCTGTCGTCATCGATTCATCATTCATACGCATTTCATCCAGAGCCATCTATATAGGGTATAAATAATCATGCGTTCATCCAAGTCCGACATCATTCAAACTGCCAGGTAGCGCTCCTTCCATACAAGTAGCTAACGAACCCTTCCGGCGCTATTCCGAAGACTAAATTATTCAGCATGAGCAATATTCTGTCGTCATCGACATCATCCACTACCCATTTCGAACTTTCAAATTTCATCCATGGAGCCATCTAGGTATAAATAATCATGCGTTCATCCAAGTACATCATTCAAACGCCCTCATCCTCACTCCCAGCACAAGATGGTCAAGTTATACGGTTTTTCCTCTTCCACATGCACGCGCCTTGTCGCTCTCGTCTGCAAGGAGAAGAATATCCCATACGAGTTGATCCAAGTCAACTTGGCCAAAGGTGAACATAAGCGACCGGCTTTCACTGCGAATCAGCCTTTCGGACAGGTCCCATACATCGTGAGTTGGCTCGTAACTAGACATGTTGTATGCTCACGCACGCCCTTGAAGGATGATGAAGGGTTCATTCTATACGAGTCCCGCGCGATTGCAAGATACCTCATAAAGAAACACCCCAACGAGGGCACTCCCTTGATTCCCAGCGACCCCAAGGCTGAAGCCCTGTTCGAACAAGCAGCCTCGATCGAGGCGTTCAACTTCACCGCCTTTGTCGCGCCAATTGTCGCTGAAAAAGTGTTCAATCCGTGAGCAGTCTTCTTTCTCGACTTAGTGACGTAGCTTAGACGACTCTCAAGGCGCCGTGGTTTACAACCAAATGAAGAGCGTGTCAAGGAGCTGTTGGCCAGTCTCCAGCCCAAGTTGGACGCATATGACTTGATCCTTAGTAAACAGAAGTACCTTGCTGGTGACGTGCGTCTCGTTTTTAGTCCTACTCTGCCTGTGAACTAACAGTGCCTGTTGGATATTTAGTTTGTCACGCTCGCCGATTTGGCGCACTTGCCATATGGCACTGCGTTTTACGGAGCTGGCTTTGCTGAGATGTTTGAGAGCAGGCCTCACCTTGCTAGGTAAGAGCTGAGATACCAGCTACCGTGGATATCATTTAATCATTCGATACGCAGGTGGTGGAAGGACATCTCTAACAGGCCTGCTTGGCTCGCCGTCAAGGATGGCGCGTGAGGTCTTGTTCAATAGGTCAAGGAAACGTTCGGAAAGTGTCGTTGTATGTAATACCAATAGAACTCTATTTTGATGTCTTCGTCACAAGGAAAACAAGAACTATGCTACTTGTGTTGTGGTGAGGACCGTGCAGTTGACTTGCAGTAAAATCGAGATCTGGGGAGCTCGTCATGTACTCAACGTACACCAAGTCGTACTTCACCTTCACTGGCAACGCAAGATCTGGCAAAATCTAGGTGCGGCATCGCCCATTTACGGAGTTGTTCCACCAGCTTGTTGAGTACTGATTAGGTGTGGTACCAGCTACCGATGCTAGCAGGTGCGTGGGAGCGGCCGGATTCAAACGTTTCTCTACGTGATAATGATTAGATGGACTTGAACTGAGAAAGAGAAGAAATACACGTTTTCCTTTGTGTATGAAACTTGGCTTCAACAACTGCAGGGCTGTGCGCTTGCAACTCGATGCGTTCACCACTTTGTCCACTCTCTTTCAAAGGTCGGCAGTTGAGAGGGGAGAACGGTAACGTATCATGGGCACTGGAGGGGCTGGCCGGTTGCGATGGAGTAGACGACTGAGAAGTTTGCTTCCTTAAGTGCGGTGCTGAGGCCTAGGCTGAGGAGTTGGGGCGGCTTTGATCGTGCGGAGGTCCGAGGACTTCATCATGCGTGTGCTCCACACAATATTAGTATTAATTGAAGTGTTCTTTGAATCCTTTGATTGTAATTTCTAGGGGTAAATCTAAATTTGCAATGCCTAGTAATCCCCACGCTTTCGACGGTCCTTCACTGCTACGCCCACCATGGATTCTGTTCGTTGGCACTACAAAGCAAAGCACCTTCTCTGGGGTTAACCGGAAACACCGAGGCCTTGGTCGCTATGGCTCACGACACAAAACCAAAACAGGCACCCCACACTACTCATACAAGTGTCACCCAATGATAACTAGTCAACTGGCTAGCTCGCCGGAGGACTCGGGGCATCCAAGTCTATTTGAATTGCTTTTCTACTTCCTCACAGGATAATTCACCTACTACTTTCGAAGGACCGCATAGCCAAGTGACACATGGTTGCTCGGTCCAGATCAAGATTGTACTAGTACTGCCATGCATGGTACTTGTATACTCCCCGAGGCCTCCATTCAAGTAGTAGCGAACCCTTTCCTGAACCGGCTCTAGCGCGAATATCGCAGTGAATTATTCAGCATATGCAATATTCTGTCGTCATCGATTCATCATCCATACGCATTTCATCCAGAGCCATCTAGGTATAAATAATCATGCGTTCATCCAAGTCCATCATCCAAACGCCCTTGACAGTAATCTCACAAGATGGTCAAGTTATACGGCTTTCCCTCTACCACATGCACGCGATTTGTCGCTCTCATCTGCAAGGAGAAAAATATCCCATATGAGTTGATCCATGTCAACTTGGCCAAAGGTGAACAGAAGCAGCCGGCTTTCACCGCGATTCAACCTTTTGGACAGATCCCATACATTGTGAGTTGGCTCGTGACCGGACATATGTTGTATGCTCACGCGCGCCCTTGAAGGATGATGAAGGGTTCATTCTATACGAGTCCCGTGCGATTGCAAGATACCTCATCAAGAAATATCCCAACGAGGGCACTCCTTTGATTCCCAGCGACCCCAAGGCCGAGGCATTGTTCGAACAAGCAGCTTCGATCGAGGCGTTCAACTTCACCGCCTTTGTCGCGCCAATTATCGCTGAAAAAGTGTTCAACCCGTGAGCTGTTTTCTTTCCAACGTACTTTGTAACGTTTTTGTTACGTTTTCTCAAGGTACTTTGGTTTGCCTCCAAATGAGGAGCGTGTCAGCGAGCTGTTGGCTAGTCTCCTGCCCAAGTTGGATGCATATGACTTCATCCTGAGCAAACAGAAGTACCTTGCTGGTGACGTATGTCTAGTTTAGTTTTTGACATTTACTCTGGCTATGAACTAACAGCACCTGTTGCATATTCAGTCTGTCACGCTCGCCGATTTGGCGCACTTGCCATATGGCACTGCGTTTTACGAACTCGGAGCTGATTTTGCTGAGGTGTTTGACAGTAGGCCTAACCTTGTCAGGTAAGAGCTGAGATACCAGCTGCCGTGGTCCGTGGATATCATTTAATTATTCGATACGCAGGTGGTGGAAGGACATCTCTAACAGGCCTGCTTGGCTCGCCGTCAAGGATGGTGCGTGAGGTCTTGTTCAATAGGTCAGGGAAACGTTCGGAAAGCAGTGCAGTCCCGTTGTATGTAATACTAATAGAACCAGTTTGATGTCTGCTCGATGCTTCGTAAGGAGAACGAGAAGTCCGCCACTTATGAAATGATGAGGATCGTGGAGGATGCATTTACAATTGTAAATCTCTGCACAATGAGAATCTAGCATCTGCGCATATATCGTGTGAGGCGGTCCTTTGGGATGCTCACTGTGACTCGTCTCTACAGTACATACTCAAGTAACCCTGAAGGTCCAGACTTCAGGTCTGCTTCAGGGTGAGCCGACGCTCAATCTCTATTACGTGGCGGCAACGTACCGAGGCACGAGTGTCAGGAACATTTTACAATGAGTAAGGTCTAGGGCATCTCGAGCGAACAGCCGGACACGGTCTTGCTTTTGTGCCACAATTGTCGTTTACTATCCCAGGGCCGTCCCTTGCAGTTCACCTCTCTTTTTCTCTAACCAAGTCGCTCACTCAGTTTGGGCAGAAAGTGCTCGGTGGGCGCTTTAGTCCACTTTGATTTTTTACTAAACAATGAGTTCGGGCACAGCGGGTGAGCCTGGGACCTGGGTTATTTGCGCAACGAGGAGCTGTCACACCCATCAGTCTGTTATCATCTTGACGGACGGTATGGAACTTCGAACCTGTGCGAGCGAACAACTTTTGACAGTTTTTAGCGCCGGTTCTCACTGATATATGTAAGTGGTGTCACATCTGAACTCCGGTCAAAGATTGACTCAGAGCGTGGTTATTCAGGTGAATTTACGAGATGGGCTCCTCGGAGAATCCTTAGCATTGGCAGCGTGCGTTACATAGAGTTGCATCCGCTGCTTCCATCTTCCTGGCAATAAGTTCTGCTATATCTCCCGAGCATATGACCTTCGATTAACTTGAGCGTTTACCTGGTTACCGCGCAGATGCGAATGAACAGATTTTAATATTGGCTACCGGGATCGACGTCGCACTGCGTCATGCCGGCGGATGCGATAGCGAGTGACATTGACCGTATAAATGGCCATCTTCGAATTCTGATCATGCGGACGCTTGAATGCCCACGGGTTGATTTCGGTTGATTGGGAGCGCCTAAAAAACCGGAAAGGGCCCGAACAACATCATTGACATGAAAAGGGTTGTAGTGGTTAATTTTGAACTGTGGTCCGTGGAGCAAACAAGAAAGTACGTTCGATTCGTTGCGATAGCGTAACTCGCGCCTTGGGATCATATCGCGATGGGATTCGACGATGCATCAAACATTCCGTTACATCTTTTCCTCGAGAATCAAGATTTAAACGCGGTGTCCATGCGGTATTCTTCTTCGATTGAGTTCGCGGCTAATGTGCCATTGTTGCCGTGGACCATTGTCTGTTAAGCCTCGCGGGAATCTACCAGTGATGATTGTATAGGATACGATACGTGGAAACAGATTTAGTACTATTTAGAAATCTTTTTGAATCAAGGGTTCAGTTGTTGATGAACACGCCGCCCTTATATTTTCCCAGTTTGTGCAGATTGTCAACTTGAGTGAAAGTACTTATGTCCGTTTGTTCCGTTTCCCATTTCATCCTCTCTCTTAACTGTCACGCTTCATGAGTTTTGCATGAGGTTGGTTAGGATAGCGATAAGCAGGTGCGTTGCTCGTCGTGTTCAACAGTGACAGGCTGATCTACGACGCTGAGCTGATCGTTCGACCAGCAGAACGCCCTAATCATTGTAACACAACCCAGTCCCTCATCGCTCTTTTTAATACTCTAGAATATGCCGCCTCGACGTAGCACTCCTGCTCTCAATTCTCTGAGCCCGCAGGATGCCACAGTGCATTCCTCCTCTACCCCGCCCTCTCCCGCCTACTTGCAATTTCCTCAAGCACGTTCCAATTCCCCATCCGGGTTGGCGCATCTCCTCTCCAAGCCTTCAAGATGGTTCCGAAAGCCATCTGATCCACGCCTGGCGTTGGGTACAAGTGAACCTCGAAGCAGCACCAGCTCAGTAGCCGTACGCAAGCCGAAGATATCCCGCCCCACAGACCCACGCCCCATTTTTCAAGGTTTTCAACCGGAACCCCGTGTTAGCGACGCGAGCAAGTGAGTTTACTTCTGCAACGTGCATTTGATGACCCTTTCCTCGACTGCACCGCGTTTTCGGTTAAGGTCACCGTTCGTGCCTCGATTCTTACGCGTACACTAAATTGATGTATTCGAGATGCATTCTTTGTATTTGAAAGTTGGCTGTGCATCGTACTGATAACTCAATGTGCTTCTTAGGTCGGTTCTAGATCTCTCGTCTAAGAAGTCCTTCGATTTACAACGACCCTTTCCCACTTCACAACCATCCTCTCCTGATACCCACCGGAGCCTTGGTGATCTTCGCAGCATATCCCGTAAAACTTGGTCAAAGTCCGCAGATGATCTTGGAAACTTCTCCACGTCCTCGTTTTCCTCTGCAGATATCTCTTTTCAACATAGAGTGCAAGAGTACAGGAACAGAAGTAATAGCAGCGCAACTTTGCATCCCACTTCTGCGGGCTCTGGTCCTGGAAGCCCCGTGAAGCACATATTCCCAACCATTGTTACCAACAGTAGCCCTCTTTCGTCTTCACCTCCTGAGAGGCTCGTCTCTCCGGACCCTGGCATTTCTATCTCTGTCTCCTCACCCACTTCAGACACGTTCATTTCCCCTGCGTCAGAGGAGCCACCCCCTGTCCATTCCCGTAACACATCATTTGCGCCTCGATTACCTTCTAAGCTATCCGCATCTAAGCTCGGGTTTACGCCAGCAAGCCCCAAAAGGAAGGGATCAGGTTCGGAGCGAGACGCCGAGTCCACAAAGGACAAAGATAATGATCGGAATGGCCCTAGTGGCGCGCGTGGCGTCTTTCCTTTCAGTCTTTCAAGTCCTTCTTCCAGTAAACATCCCATTACCCAACCCAGCTCCCATCAGTGGCCAAAACACAACATCGTCGTCATCACCATTACTTGCGCCTACTATGCTCAAACCTGATGCATATGACACTTGCGATTCGCGTCGTACATCTCAGATCGTCTATAATGCTGGGTTTATCAACCGTATGGGAGATGCCGCGCCATCGATCTATGCGCATTATCGGCCATATAGTACTTCTACGAATCTGACGCTATCGAAGGGATGGAAAGCAGCCAAGGCAGAGCTTAAGGGGTCGAAGTTGTACTTCTACAAAGTGCCCAGCGACCGTAGCGCTGCCATCAAGGAACTCTTCCCTACTGAGATCGTCCCCACCCTCGACGAGGGCGAAGTGGATGGCGAATCCGATACCTTGGATGATCTAAGGGCTAGTAGGGGCAGAGATGACGGTGCAGGTGGCAGGAAGAAACGTGCATATTGGGGTCGGAGGACGCATCCTGACCTGGTTCGCGGTGATAGTGGTATCGAGAAAGGAACCTTCGAGGCTCTCTTACATGAAGCCGTATTCGCCACCACTTTCCTCCAGCCTTCCGCAGAGGATGAGGAGCAAGATGCTTCTACGAGCGAGCCTCGCAGACCGGAGTGGAAAGACCTCTGTTCTGCTGTGTTGCTCTGCTTGCCCATCCTCGTGGGGCGAGAGTCGTTTGAGAACGAGTTTACTCGTCTATGTGAGAACCTCGTGAGTGGTGCTGAAGAGAGGATCAAGGATTATGAACGCTCGTGCGTTTCATGGATGGCTGGCGAGTATCTCCGCTACCATGGTGCACCTTCTGACGAGCCTGGTTGGGACGCTTGGCGAAAGGAAACGATACCCGCTTTTTCTTGGAACGAAGGCTCTGCCTCCGGAATGCCCAAATCCACCTCTACACGAGCCGTTTTCGCCCCTTCTCCAAACCCTGGCACGTACTCTCCTTCGATGACCGGATCTACGCTCTCTCCAAACCTAGGCACATTCTCCCCCCGGCCAGGCGATGACGCCAAAATAGCATCTCTAATGGAAGCTTTGGGTCCAGGGTTGCAACCCTCCGCATCACCTGTGAAGTCTCTCTCCCCACGACAACAGCGCCCCCAACATCCGTTCGCTGATCCTAAGCAGCGTGTATGGACGTTATTGGCGCAAGACGGCTTCACCCGTGAGGTGCTCTCTCTCCTTGACCCCACCGCCGTTGCCCATAGTTTGAGAATCTTCCATCGACGTATCCTTCAGCAACTTCCTGACAACCTCACAGCCGAACATATCTTGAAACCAGATGGCGATCCCAGCCCTTCTCCAGATTCAGATGCTGGTGCACCAGCTGGGTCGTCACCGTCAGCAGCACTATTTGGAAGCGACGACCGACCGCACTGGCTCACGCGACTTCTTCTCATGCAGATTTTAGGTGCTGATTCATCGGGCAGCTCTGGAGTGGAGCGTAGTGCGTCGTCACGCACGCATTCACGCTCTGAAGTGGTATCTATGTGGGCGAAGATTGGAGAGCTTTGTCGGGTTGCGGGCGATGAGTGTTCGTGGATGGCTATCTCTTCTGCCCTGTGCTCGCGTCCTGTCGCACGGCTTACCAAAGCGTGGAGGCGAGCGGATCGTCAGAGTATTATGGTTGTTGAGTCGTGGATCTACCCTGGGGGTGATGGGCAGGTTGCGCTTGTCAATGGGCCTGTTGTGACGCCTTGGGGTGGGGAGATTAGGGATCGAGCCAAGCATCTCCTCGAGCAAGCTAGAGAGGAAAGGACGGATGAGGTGTGGGCGGCAAAGCCTCTTTTGCAGACCAGGGACTTGTTCGAGGGCTTTCGGACGAAGATTTCATTGTGCCCTAGGAATACCTCAACGGACGATCTTCCTCATGATGTTGAGAAGCTCCTCAGCTTTTGGCAAGATTTCGTGGAGGAGAAAGATAACCAGTGCTCGGTATTAGCGTCCAAGTTCCAACGGTATGTTGAACCGTCGACATCTTGAGGTGGAAACATGTTGATTTGCGAATAGGGTTGACCAATTCATGTCGCTTTCGCTGGCTGCAGAACCGAGGCGTAAAGGACTGTTTGAACCGTTTTTCTGGTCGCACTCCATGTCTACGCCGCATACGCTTTGTCATCCCCTTACTCCCCTGCTATTCGTGGATCCACTGCCAACTGTCACGCTCCTTGATCGAGGACAGATTTGGCGTGGCCGGTTAGAGAGTGGACCGACGAAGCTTAGTGTTGATGAGCTCCAGCGTCTCCGCGGACTTGATGTGACGTTGACTCCGGCATCTCGCAGGGCGGATGCCTCCTCCAGTAAAGATAAGCTATTCAACATTGGCGACGTCGACATTCGGGAGACTGCCATTCCTGTTTATGACGGAGAACTTCTCCTCGTTGCTCGCAGCGACCTAGATCCACTATCCTCATCCCGGCCTCCTTCTCGTGCACCATCCAGACCCCCGAGTTCTGTAGTGGAGGGGTGTAATCTCGACAAACCTATGACGCGTTCACCTTCTATCCGTGTAAAGCCTGGATCGTCTCAGGGCCTCGAGCGGAAGAGCAGCGTTGCACGCCGAAGCTCGTTGCCTTCTATATCTTCTCGACCAAATGCTATGGTGACAGAAGTGTCGTCAGAGAGGCCCATTCGCGTCATCGTGCAAGCTGGAACTTTAGACCGCCTGGTCAATGTCCTCGTGCACGGCCTTCAGGGCGTTTCAGTAGCTGTGGCTGATGATAATGGTGAGACGTCTCTAAGGGACGGCAAAACCAGGGACCTTGTCGTTGATCGATCTGAGTTTGCGCGAGTATGGTGGCATGTGTTCCGCAGTTTTGTGACGCCTATAGTCTTTTTTGAGGTATGGTAATCTCATTTCCGCGTTTGGGATGACCTAATTCATATATTCTATAGCTACTTCGTAAACGCTTTTTAAGCAGTCGACCCTCCAGCCAGCCTTCCGCAAATAGTTATCTTCACGTCATACAGTTTCGGTCGGAAGTGCTAGAGGCGATCAAGGACTGGATAACGTCTGGAGGAGGAGCCCAGGACTGTCTCGATGATGTTCAGCTATTTGAAGCTGTGCGGTCTTTCCTGGACAGTCCATTAGATCGCTCTTCTTTTGATACTCCAACTACGGTCGAAAATGACGTCGGCCAAGCTTGGGACGCTCTGGACAGCGCTCGTCAAATCACACATACAGCGTTTACCACGCAGACTCAACGCCCTCCGTCTGTCTTCTTAGCTACTGCCCGACCGCTGAAGTCGACTCCTCGGGTGCGATCCTTTGGTAATCAACCACCGGACCTCGATGCGATCAGTGCTGATGAGCTCGTCGAGAATTTAAACGCTATGGGTGCTGCGGCGTTGAGTAATATAAGCGAGGAGGTTGGTCCTCCCCTTACTAATTTCCGATATGGGCGCTCAATTTCCTTTCAGGACCTCTTCATCACCGCTGATCTGTTAGAGGTGCAAAGCGCAGATCGTACTGGGTGGTTTTCAGCTCGGGAAGTGCCATCGACAGATGACATCGACATCCAGTCCATGTATTCCCACATGACGGACGTTCAGCCATCTTCGCTGATATCCGAGCTTTCTCAGGACACTATCTATCGTCTCCTACCGCCTAGCATCCGCAGCTGTATCCGTGCCTTTAACATCCTTCGGAAATGGACGATTTCGAAGCTCGTCGCACCGAAATTGGGAATCAGACTACGGCAGGCAAGAATGGACCTTTTCCTTCGAGCCATCGAGATTGCCCGTCTAAGGAGCATGGACAGTGGTTTTGCATCCTTCGGGTGTGGGGACCGACCTTGTGTCCGGTCTTTCGTCGAAGCTGTCCTAACTTCGGCCATTGTTAGTTCAGAGAGCCGTATGCATCATCGTCCATGGCAAAATATTGCGAATCTTCGGGGGGTTCAGTGCGATAGCCTTGTAGGGCTTCTCTCAAGACCGGCTATACCCAAAAAATCATACGGAGATGTCCTCGCTATCGACGTTAGTTGGATTTTGGAGCGTATACTCGAATTGGTGAGTATACCAAATGTGGTTATGACGTCGGGCGAGAACGATCAGTGCATCATCAACTTGGATAAACGCAGGTAAAGTGATTTACGATTCCGAGGTACGGTCTGCTGACGGGTTCCTAAGGCACCTTTGCAATCTCATTTTGACTACTCCATCGCTCTCGAAGAGGAGCCGTCCCCGCGAAGAGGTCGACCGGAAAGACTTTGAACGGTTGAACAACATCGAGAGAGAGATGAACTTGATCTCGCTCGACCACCGGAGTATCAGAGACGATGCCCAGCGGGAGGCCCTGCAAGCTCAATGCAATGGTTCGGCATCTGTCAAGAAGACCGTACGCCCGTTCCAGAGGCTAGTTGCGGCGCAACAAGAGAAGTGCAAGCGAGACAAGTATCTCCATGACCGGCTCAGCAAGGACAAAAAGCAGGAGCAATTGCGCAATGAGCGGAGAGATGATCAAATTAACAAGGCCATGCGGTCACGCAAGCCGATGACTCAGGTTCAGAAGCAACACCGGATGAAGAAGAGCTACTCCTCAGCGTTTTTCCAATTGATGAGGCCTATCTCTAGTGCATTTACTGATAGCATGCACGCTACGGCATTGAAGCGATCGCCCGCTGAATTGGACTTCTCGCCCTCTGGTAAACCTTCTTTGGTTCTTTCAGTCGTTGACGCTCGAGTTGCCCAATTTATCAATAACGAGAGGTCGTTCACATTCCAGCTGGACACCGAAGACGGCGGACATTATTTACTGCAGGCTATTTCTAAACAAGAGATGGTACGATGGATCGAGCAAATCAATCGTGTTGCGAAACTTGCTGCTAAACGCCGCTTGACGTATCTTGGAAATTCACCAAAGCCGCAACTTGCAGACCATATCCATGACCATCCATCAGCTACCACAGCTTCGCGGGATCCTAGAGCTGGTAAGGTGTTCCATGTCCTCCGTGTCCTGTCTCTCATACGTTTCTAGTCTTTGCTGTCGAACTGGAGTTCCTCCTCCAGCGTGAAGCTAATGGAGCGCAGCCCGAGATTGGCTCGCTCCCGTCGGTTATTCTGACTTGCCTGTCTGAAGTCGAGTATCGTGGCCTTGATGAAGTTGGCATCTGTATGTTCTTTCGTCGTTTTCTCCTGCAGAGGCCTGACTTTTTGCAGATCGTGTTGCTGGTGCTACTTCTGAAGTTAACGCTCTCCGCGACGCCTTCAACAGAGGTATGGTTCCTATCTGGAATGGGCTGTATGTAATTAACTGATAATTCGCTAGGCGAGTGGCCTATTACCCCCGACAGTGATATCCATGCCGTATGCGACTTGATCAAGTCATGGTTCAGGTTACTCCCCGAGCCTGTCTTCCCATCGTCGTCCTATTTCAATGTTATTGAGGCAATGAGTAAATTCTATCCCATCAATGGTATTTTTTCGATGCTAATATTCTTGCAGAGCTCGAGAATCTTAATTCGCGGCTTGCATGTATCCGAAGTGTCGTGCACGGGCTTCCTCAGGCAAACTTTGACCTTTTGAAGAGGATTGCCGAACATCTCGATAGGTGAGTTTTTGTTCCTGTTTCTTTCGTCAGCTATATGATATTGATGCTATTACTCCAGAGTAACCGACTACGAGGAACACAACCAAATGACAGCTGAAGCCCTTGCAATCGTTTTCAGCCCCAACCTCCTTCGTGCACCGCAGAATGATTTTGCCCTGATCTTGTCGAACATGGGACATACCCACAAACTCGTGAAAGCCCTGATCACTCATGTACGTGGCGTCACACCATTCATCGTTCCTTCACTGACACTCGCTGCAGTTCCATGTAATCTTTGATGACGAGCTTGAAGCCGACCATGACGTAGAAGAGGATGAAATGGAGGAGCCTATCCTCGAGGAGGACGAAGAAGAGGAGATAGACTCTCCAGCTGCAGGCGATGAGTCATAGACCATGGACGCTCATGTATACGGTCACACCTAACCCCCCCCCCCATCTACAACGGACTCCTTGTTGTCGTCATAATCCTTTTGCATTCCGTTCTCTGGGTCACATACGACCGTTCGCGGATATCTATCATGGACATTGTACAGTACCACACTCCCCACAGTATTCTCGCTGCTCATCCTGACGTTCTTTTTGGCTTCACCTGTTTTTTATTCCCATTACTCGTGACTTCTCTGATCTGTGCAAAATTACTGTAAAGCAGTCTAGATGCTCCCGTAGCACTACCCTAATCTTCATCCCAGTTACTCGCCTGTTGAGGGACTTTGGGTCCTCCTGCGGGTTTGCTCATGATGATGCTGTCGACGCTAAGTACGGATACGGCGGCTTCTGTTGCGAGCTTGATCGCCCACTGTTTTGCAGCTAGTGGGTCGAGAATCTTGAAGTCGGTAGCTAGCAGAGTGCCATCTTGTTCAGCCTAGAATGCGATCAATCAATCAATCAATGTGTCATGATGTAGAGCTGGTGAACTTTACCTCGATATCGACACCCCAGGCTTCGCCGCCCTTCTGTTCGTGCTTGGCCCACAACCGACTGAGAACCTCGTTACCCTCAGCACCTCCCAGCGCATTCTCAGCGAGCGTTCTGGGTATGACTTCGAGTGCGGTAGCATACCGCTTCACAGCATGTTGTGCCAGCCCCCTCATCCCGCTCCCGTATACCTCAACACGCTTGGCCAGCTCCAGTTCCGTTGCACCAGCACCAGGAACCAACCGTGCGTCCTTTATTAGAGATTTGATGACATTGACGCCATCGTCGATAGCGCGCTCGAGGTCATCAAGATGATTGGCCGTCGCCCCTCTAAGCACGATCGTCGCTGTACGCGTCTTCTCCGCGTCTCCTTGATACCCGTCCTCGCCGGGAGCGAGCTGACGGAGGACGGTGACGCGGTCTCCACCGATCTCCGTTGTCTCGAAGATGTCGACGTAGCCGGCTTCTTCTGGGGTGGGTGCACCGACGCGGGCGAGAGGAGTGGCGTTGGCGACGCGAGCTACGCGGCGGAGGTCAAATTTGGAGAGGACTTTGAGAACGGCGATGTTGAAGCGATTGAGGTAGTGTAGGGCTAGGTCGCCGACGGATGAGCCTGCAATGATAACTTTTATGCCTGAATCAGCGATTTCCTTGAAGATCTGTTTATTGAGTGATAGTTAGTAGATGTACAAGGTAATGGGATGGAGGAAAACATACCCTTTCGAGTTGTTGTTCCTCGCCGCGCGTGAAATTGAGCATTTCGTCTGCGCTTTTGAGGAGGACAGTGCCTTTGGTTTCGGTTTGGGCGACGTCGAGGGCGCATGTAAAGACGGCCACTTTCGCGCCTGAAACTTTTTTGACGATACCTTGGGAGGGGATGTGAGCGTGAGTGCTGTATCGAGAATTTGAGTAGAATTACCTTCGGGTTCGCGACCAAATACCATCCCTTGTACAACTTTGCTGCCCGAAAGGCTGCCGCCCATGATCTTGACGACGCGGACGTTGTCGACGTTGAAATTCTTCGGGTTTTTGGGCATGACTGCGAGCGCGGCTTCTGCCACAAGTGACGATAATGTGTCCTCGTAACCGTATTGTTTCGAAGCGATCGCGGGTTTGAGGGCTGTAATAAGGGATTCCCTGCGTAAAAGGGGACGGTAGGCTAGATGTCGATAGATCTGCGCCGCTTCATAAGAAAACGCATACAAGATGAGGGAGGGACTCACTTTCAAGTTCCGCGAGGGCTTTGGCGCATGCGAGTTCGTATCCCTTGATGACCTCGCTGGGATGGAGGCCCATCACGAGTAGATTCTCCGATTTCTTGAGTAGTTCTCCTGCGAGAATGATGACCATGTTAGTAGAGTCACCCATCTGGATGTAAGTTAATAAGTAGATAAGAAACGAAATAAAATGAAGGACATACTTCGGACTCTTGAGCTTGCGAGGCCATGACAAGGAGCTTAGCTGCTGGGTGAACAACTTCGATTTCCCTGATGATGGTAGCGGCATCGGATGTTACGAAAAGTCGGCCAAGGGTGATTTATTATGAGTTTATTCCGGCCTAACAGAGAGTCAATATAGACACGTTATAGCGCAGAACACGTACCATTTGGACCAAAGCTTGTCCGTACGAGATCGGATAGCTCTGAGACTGCATTTATGTTTCGAAGGACGGCATCTTCGATGCCCTGGAGGTGCTACAAGAGTGTTATCGGATGTTGTAAACGAAGATCGGGCGTATGAAGCATACCTTGTAGCCATCCTTGAAGAGTTGGATGTTGTTAGCTTTTGGTACTTTTAGTGACATGGTTTCCGATGGCACAACCGTGACTACTGGCTTTCGGACGCGTCCCTATCCAATTTCTACGTGGGTGTAAACAAACCAAAATACGTTATGCTCCTACCAACTGTCAATTCCTCCCAAACTACGACGCGTCAAACTTCGCAGACATCAAGACCCTCGTTTTTTCTCCTCCAATTACGAATGCTCCCACATTAACACGCCTTTGGAACGGAAATGAAGACACCGCTACGCCGAGCCTTCCTATTTTTGCGTTGGGGAGGACAAAGTGGGCCACGGAAAATGTTAATATGCACTGCCCAATAATTACGATTTACAACCAAGGACTCTGGGCTTGTGTGAGATTGGACTGTGACCTAGCTGCCGTTTATACTGTGCATCATATCACCTCGAAGTTTGACGACTTCAAATCCCGGTGTGGTGAGCGCCTTCTCAACACGGCGCCAGATTCTTACTTTTTCCCGCCATGATCAACACCAGTACTATCTATTCGAACGAGAACACGAACAGGACAGAAAGTCTGGTATTTAGTTAGTCTTTGGGTGCGGTCAGTACAGATTCTGCCGTACATCTTAGCGCCAAAGGTCTGTCTGCCCCCGTCATGTTGCATCATCCTTGTTGCCCACCGCGTGTCTTGTCATGCCCGCCACCTTCTCGTAGGCCGCAGGTATGATATCATTTTTGCATTACATGCTGCGTTTTCTTGGTGCTTTGGCCGTAGGCCACACAGGACACCTCACGGCAAGACATCTCATTAATTGGAGAGCATCCATCTTGAGCGGTGCCTATCTGGCGCTTTCACGCATGACTCGCAGGAGATACGGTAATGAGGAGCGCCCTTGCAGCCAGAAGTATAATTATGGGCATCATGCGAAACTTTCGGGACCAAGTTGCTTGGGACGTAGCTATTTTTACGCACCATACAGGTAAGGATCGTACTTGCTTCTGACGCAACGGCTATTCATTCCTTTTCAGGTGAACTACTGGACCTCGGTTATAACTTGCGCAACGAACGCAGGGCTTGATACCAGGAAAAATGCTTCCAAGAGACGTGTACGAAAATGCTCTTTCAGATCACGGATTGGGGTAAACAGCACTGGAGACGACGTTCCACGCGTGCTGTGGCTATCTGGCCCTGCAAGCAAGGGCAAATCAGCATCGTCCACACGAGTGCTAACTGGTTCAGCGATGCGGGAGGGCTTGGTTCATGTTATTGCTTCGACCGAGATCGGAAAGCCGACCTTTGCCACGAGAAGATATTTTCTACCATCACACGCGACTTGGCTGCCCGTGATTCGGGGGTGAAATGAACGGATGAAAAAGCAGCAGTATCACGACGTATAAACTTTAGATAACACTCGGGCCTGCTCAGCATAGGATCAATCTTGGTATACCGATCAGAACCAAAGCTTGGAGTATTACTGGTCGATTTATTGGATAATTTGATTCTTTCTTCATTCCACTCTGCCGAATATGATCCAGGGACCGGCACTGCAACGCCCTCGAGGTTTTTACTAGTTATTTTATATAAACGATGATGTAGGACCCTAACTTTTGCACCTTGTGGCTGACAACGTGGATGATGGAGTCGTCTGTCTTGGATACCTGCCTGCTCGAACACGCTTCCTTGTGGAAAAGTGGAGATGTTAAAGGTGACTTGGCCGGCGCGGCGGCTGCGTAGAAAAGGTTGACAAGGGTTGACTCGGAACAAACTCGAACGAAGGTTCTTCAAGAGTTGTCACTAGGGTTAGGGAGAAAACTCGTTGTTTATTAGCCAGGTGCTAATTAGCGAGATATTAGCAAGCTAATAACACGCTAATAATTCGATCCCAGAAATTACCATGCTAATAATGCTAAGAACTCCCAATGGCTGCCTGTGCGTCATATATCAGAGGTTACAACCGTCAATCAGGTCAGGAATCGTGTCGGGAGGCTCAATTCTACTGACATATAATCATAATAATGAAACTAGTTACCATATAGTTATTTCAAATGTTCTAATTGGTGCAAGCCCGCGCATTCAATGATAATCTGTCATGAATTCCAAATACAAATCACTATTCTTTCTTGAACACTCATAAGACACCCATTAAGCGCCCGTTACAAGCGCCTGTCATTAGCGCTCAGTCAGCGTCTGTACCTATAACCTTCACAAACCCTAACCCGAACTTCTCTATTCCATTAGCGCCCACTACTTTTATCTCCGACATTCCTGATTTCGACTTCCTTACTCAAGCGATCAAGTCACGTGACTCTAGAACCTTCGAGAACCCTTGCACAGCCGTCACACGTTTCATGACATCATAGGTGTAGTTATATTTAGATCATCGTACGATTCCCTTTTCTATTTAATGATTGGTTAGTTAGTTCATACTCAGATTCAGTCTCCGTTTCAATATATGTATATAGGTAGCTCATTGTAGTCAGTAGTTCTCCAGTTCAAACCTCTTTTGTATTAGCTCACTGCTAGCAATCCTAAGACGTCCCTGCTATTCCTTCCTCTTTGTTGTGATATCCTTGTTTGAGTCCTAGTCTCTGCCCCTACGTTAATTCGTTATAAGGGTTGTGACATTAGGTTTGAACTATAGGGGACTCCAACTCTACGCATTACCGCTTGCACCTTTTTCTCTTTGATCTGATGTTAAGACCGTACTCAAGTAGTATCGGATCCGAAGGGCTTTGGCCTCAGCTCGTGCACTGTGCCCCTTTCCCGAGTCTTGCCCCTTATTTCAGAGAGCTAAAGTATCGCGTCTAGTGAGACGGATAAGTCTCGTAACGGATAAGTCTTGTATGGATCCGTTAAGACTTCCGGATATCGAACATATAGAGTAATGGCTAATCCGGATCGGATCCGGACTAGAAACTAACGGGTGAGGACTGTCCGAAGACAGAGGCGGATATGTAGACTATAGGAATCTATCCTAAGTCTCGGAGTAGACAAGAGTAGCGTACTCAAGTCCGGACGGATAACGGAGGGACTTGGAGTCCAGACGGAATGAGTGCAATCTAAGATGATATTCGAACTGATCTACTACAGCGCATATACAACGGTTTATATACTACGGATAGCTAACGGAATGATCAATAAGCAAAGGTGCGAGGCTATGTACGAAAGTATAAGCAAAGTCTAAGTGGAGCGTATTGGTAAGTTGGATGGATCACGAATCATGAACCGGGAATGAAGTACAAGTAAAAGCGGATTCGTAAGTGTAGCGGATCAGTAAGCATAGCGGATCAGTAAGCAAAGCGGAAGTAAAGGATAACCGGTATACCGGTGTACAGGAATACCGAAAGGAGATGAACGATAGTTAGAGTTATATGAACAGGAAATGAAATAAGAATCAAAGCGGATCTGTGGACCGGACGACGGATATGTTCATCGGATCTGGATCGGATCTGAGATCCAGATCATCGGATCTGTAACCGGATATATGGTATGACAGTATCCCCCCCTTAGGGCCGATCCCTAGAGGCACAAGAATCAGCGATCCGGAACGGATGGTATGAGTGCGAGACAATGGAGAAGCTGATGGGAGAAGTTGCTGAGTTCGGATTCTGACAGATATACGGATGCCAAAGCGTCGCAGGGTGTTCCTTCCTTTCCCTACTTTTTCACTACCACTAGCTTATCTCAACCATGACTGATAACGGATCCGGCTCTAAGAAGACCGCTAAGCAGACTCTGGCGGATATCCAGGCCGCGCTGGCTGCTGCTGAGGCCGAGGTTCGGAAGGAGGAAGAGGCTGAAAAGCTGAAGCAACAAGCGGAAGAGGCGGAACGGAAGCGCTTGGCAGGGATTAAGAAGATTGAACGGGCTGAGGTCCGAAGGGAAGCGGAGGAGGCTAGGCGCAGGGCTATAGTAGCGGAAATGGTGAGTTATGACTTGTTCTATCGGATCCGTCCCTTATCGGATCCGTAGTCTCGCGCTATCTCAGCGGATAAGGATGGGGCTTGTACCCGCTGCGCTAAGAAGGGTCGGGCCTGTCTGTGGTCCGATGCGGATAGCAATTCCTTGGTAAGTCATCCTTGAATCTTCGGATCCGTGACTCTTAACATTCGGATAGATCAAGGCTTGTAACGCGTGCCGGAAGGACAAGGCTCCTTGTCCCGGACGACCTGGAACCGTTACGGATTCCAAGTCTAAGAAGAGGCAGCGCGCTGCTGAGAACCCATCTCCGAGAGGCAAGGGTAAGAAGCGCCAGCAGAGTCCGACTCCGGATCCGGATATGAAGACGGTAGTAGCGGATGAGGTGGAAGTGGAGTATGATGATCAGGCCTGGGTCGCGGCCGCTAATAGCATTGTAGCGGAACTGGCTCGGACCAACGGATTGCTCCAGCAGAGCATCGGAGCGGCGGAAGGGAGTAGGACTGCTATAGAGCGGATGAATACTAACTTGGAGGCGTTTTTGGAGCAGCAGAGGGAGTTCCAGACCATCCTTCTTGAGGGGATCCGGAATGGAATCCGGATTACAGAGGCGGCTCGTTCTGAGGCCACTGACAAGGACGTTGATGAATCCGGATCCGGATCGGGTGGGGACATGGAGATGGATGGCTGAGGATTTTCGGATCTGCCTTCTCTGCTACTAATGTACTTGTATATCCGCTTTGTATATTCATTGTATAGCAATAGGACCGGGTTTGTCTGGATATGCAGTGTGGAAATCCGAGACTAGATCGGACGCGTTTCCGAGTTCCGTGGCTAGTAGCCATGAAGTCTCTTCGTCTGTTCCTTCGTATCCGGACCATCGGACGAGGTATAAGAGTTGGCATTGTCTTCTACGACGGTCCAGCTTAGAGTCTAGGATTTCGGATATCTCATATTCTGGTTCTCCGTCGACTTCGACCGGAGGTGGAGGAGGCTGGATCCGATTGGGAATTGTGTTCGGAACGGATGGTTCTAGCTGTGAGACATGGAAGACGGGGTGGACGGATTTCATGGATTCGGGAAGTCGGATGGTAAAGGAATGGGTACCCGGACGGGATATGACTTCAAACGGACCTAGATT